GTGGATGAGTAAGGGATTACAGAATGCATGTAAAAAGAAGAATGCGTTATATAAGGAATTCATAAAGGACAGATCAAAGAAGGCGGAAGAAAAATATAAGTCATATAAGAACAAATTAATTGAGATTTTGAGGAGATGTAAGAAACTATATTACTTTAAAGTATTAGAGGATAATAAAAATAAAATGAGAGGTACTTGGAATGTATTAAATAAATTGATTAGAAACAGTTCTAGAAAGAGTAACTACCCTCAATATTTTATGGATAATGATGCACTGGTTAATAGATTGGAGGATGTAGTAGATAAGTTTAATAGGTTTCTTGTGAATGTTGGTCCTGGTTTAGCAAGAAGCATTTGTACATTATGTGTCAATCAAGATATATGCAAGAACAGGCTCAATGATTAATTAGATGGAACATTGTGGGTGTGGTGTATGAATGTTAACACTTTGTAATAATTCTTTAGTATATTACTTGTGTGGTGTAGAAGATAATTACTTATCTAAAGATATTGCTTAGGACTTAAAAGTTGTACGATGATGTCATGGGGTAGGACTAGATAGGTCTGACTTCTTCCTACTCCATTCAAGCATGTACTAGGTATAAGCAAATTGATATTGGATTAGCATTGTTGGATATGTGTGAAATTACATGTGTTGACATATCAACTGTTTTACATGCTTGAATGAATAAATCAAATCAAATCAAAAATCAAAACCAAAGATGATTTATAAAGTAAAAGAAGCTAATTGTTTCTGTTGTTCCAGTAACTCCAACAGAGTGAGACGTTCTCTAGTAAAACCATCAGCTAGTTTCACATCATTTTCAGGAGTCAGAATCTATAGTGGCCTCTAGAGACAAAGTGCAAGTGAAAACACAAATATTATGGAAACATGCTGCAAACAAAAAAACACAAAATCAGAGCTCTGCAAATCTAAAACATGCAAAAAAAATCTAAGCACAAGCAAAAAGAAAACATTGCACCAGAAGTGCTCCAGGACACTGTGGGAAGTGACGAGCTTGACTTGGATAAGCAGCAACAATGTAGGTACATTTGTGTTCCCATCAGACTTTGTGTCTGTTGCTTAAAGGTGTCCACAATCAGAGTGCAAATTACAGGAACGGGGTGTTGCCCCCCATTTAAGATTTGGACCCCAAAACAAGTTAAAATAACCTCTTTGTAACTTCAGTCATACATTTAAACACTTTTAACTTCATGGCTTGTAGAAGCATCCAGCAGGCAACAACATCATACTCCCCTAAAGTGGATTGTAGCATTTCCACTCACCACTACTTGTAGTGAGTTGATAGCAGTGCAGACTGTGCAGTGTTCTGATCGACATTATCTGATGTCAGTATTGCTTGTAATGATTGACCAGGACGAGTAAAATTTATTGTGACTGCTTTTGTTTTGATATGTGCATTTTTTATAATTATTGTGCGTGCATTTGGTATCAAGTCAATGATTTTTCAAGGACCTCCTCAGCTCGGCAGCCTCTCCGTCATCAACACCCTCCTCTAGCAACTTCCCACACAATGACAAATGAAATCTAAAACAAACAGATTTTAAGTGAATTCCTACATTTTTAGCAAGCAGTGAATTGTGGTTGAGACAGGTGATTACAGATAATAGAATTATAGATGCTTATGTAGGTTTATTTTGGAATCTTGTATTTCAGATTCTGCTAAGTTTGAATTTTATAGCAGTTGAATTTCTGGAACATGGTTAGATTTAGTCTTTTATTAAGTTTCTTAAGCAGCCTACCTATTGAGTTTTAAGTAATATGCACAGTACTAATCAACAAGGCTGTTATATGAGGACCGCTGCTTTTCCCTATTACACATACACTGACTAAGCATCTCTGCTTTTTTCTGACAGTATTTACAGTCAGCTTAGTTTTGCTCTGTGTTGTGTTGGCTGAGGCCAAAATGTGCCCATATGACTGACATGGTATTTGTACCAGCTCTTTGTCATCTGCATGACTCATTAGATTGCTCACAACTGTTAGATAGAACAATGCTGATTTGTATTTTATTTATGTGTTTTCTCCTTTTACTACTTTATCCCATCTTCCTCTTTTCTGCCTATATGCTGTCAGGTTGACATCTTTCAGAAGGATTTGTTGTTGATCCCCATCCACCTGGAGGTCCACTGGTCACTTGTCAGTGTCGATATTCCTCGTCGAGCCATCACTTACTTTGACTCTCAACGAACCCTCAACAGACGTTGCCCAAAGGTTGGGCTGAACAGTAGTAGATTGTTTGTTTTAGAAAAAATATAAATGCCAGTTAACAGGGGCCATTGGCCTTTTCATCCTTAATAACAGCTTTTGTTCATATTAACCTATTTATTTAGGTAAAGTTGAAGGAAACATTGATTTGTCGGTAAATACTGTATTAGTCGCTGTGACAATTGTATGAAATCTCTTGACCAGATTTAAGAGTTCATAATTCAGATTTTCGTTAATTTGTGTTTTTGTGTGCTTTGTATCAGATGAGGAAAAAGCTGTAAATATCAGGGCACGGCTTTGATTACAACAGCACTATACACTGATCAGGCATAACCTTATGACAGGTGAAGTGAATAACACTGACTATCTGTTACAGTGCTAACCGTCAGTGTGTGGGGTGTATTAGGCAGCATTCGGTCCTCGAAGTTGATGTGTTGGAAGCAGGAAAAATGGGCAGCTGTAAGGATCTGAGGATCAAACTGTGATGGTGAGATGACTGGGTTAGAGCATCTCCCACACTGCAGGTCTTGGTGGGTGTTCTTGGTCTGCAGTGGTTAGTACCTACCAACAGTGTCTAAGGAAGGACAAATGGTGAACTGGAGACAGGGTCATGGACGCCACTGAGCTCACTGATGATGAGGTTGACCTACTATAGGTTAAACCTTTAACTTCCATTTGTACTTTTCAAAAGATAAAAATGTATTTGAATAGTTGTTAAAATAGTTGAAAATGAGAAATACTGTACATTGGTCTTTATGAAGAAACAGTCGGGGGCTGTAGTGGTGATATCACACCTAGAATTTGTCTAAAAAATTCTCTCTAACTTGTCCTCACCACCACAGTTTTCATTCCTTTTACATAAGTTTTTCACTGAATTGTAGACACATCTGTGCTCTTCCTGACAGTGGAACTGTGGAAGCAAATGGATTCACAGAAGATGCACAGTGAGCTGCAGAGTGACACGAGTGCCAACCAACTGTCACGTTGACTCCTATGTAAACATTATTAGGCAGGTGGTCATAATGTTATGGCTGATCGGTGTATATATCAATCTACTTTTAGTTCAGGAGTTGGTCACTACAGGAAAATAAAACAGTGGTTTAATACTACAGAAGAAACAGCTTGTCTTGAAGGTCTCATATACATAATAAAAAGGAAAAGATCAGTTGAAGCCATTCCAATCTTAATGTAAACATAAACAAGACAGAGGTTTGTACAACCATGACAGTGTTCAAACATGTTTTTAGAATAGTTTGAAAATGTATTACAAATTGAAAACTGTAAATTTATGAGCAAGAATATCAGTTTTCCCCATTTCAAATGGCGTTTCCAACACAATGTAGTGTTAAAAGTGAAAACTGTAAGTGTGACCAGTATTTCTTTGCTTTACCCAAGTGCTTTTGTTTTTGTTGTTTCCAGCACATTTTTAAATATCTGCAAGCAGAGGCCATCAAAAAAGATCAACAAGACTTTTTGACAGGATGGAAAGGCTTTTTTAAAATGGTGAGATGTCTTGTTTTTTCCTCCAGTTTAACTGAATGACAGACTCAGGTTACTCATTTCACAAACCCTCTAAACAATGGTATCAAAAATTCATGGTCACTATGGAGAAAGTGTGTTGTTGCTGCAAGTTGTACAAAATATTACTATGTGTTGAACATTTGAACAATTATACTGCATATTGCTCACGCTGTGGGTTGTATGTTTCAGAATGTGGGTCGTCAAAACAATGACAGTGACTGTGGGGCTTTTGTGCTACAGGTGAGTTTCTTGTGTCTTCGCTGGGGCTCGGCAATATGGCAAAATATTTTATTGTGAATTATTTTTCATATCGGTTAATATTGATAATTGCAATATATAAATCGAGTTATTTTGTTTGCTTGACTGATAAACATCATTAATTATAATCAATAATATAATATACATCATTGCCTTGTCCTTGTAGATGGGTAATGACAATAAAGTTGAATCTAATCTAATGTGAAATGTACCATTCTGCATAATGACTGCTTTTACTTTTGGTACTTTAATTCTATTTTTATGCTAATAGCCTACTTTTGTACTTCCATCTAGGCACAATTCTGAATGCATGACTTTTACATTTAAGTATTTTTTTACATAAGTTAAGAATCTGAGTACTTCTTCCACCACTATTCAGCAGTGATGATAAAATGTGAATTTATTATTTTCTACTTTATTTAGCCACAAATCAGAAAGATTCCCACTATTTGTAGGAATTTATTAATTATTATTTTACTGGCTTATTCATGTTTGTTGTCCTACACCCGTGTCCTAGTTGGATTTTTTTTTTTTGTTTGTTTTTTGCAATTATTATTGTTGCACATTTTGAAATTATACAGTGAACTTAAAAGGTCATATACCATACTGGAAAGCACTGCGGAGAGACAGCTCTCAAGCCACTTTCACACAGAGTTTCAAAGGTGTGGAAAAAATGCAGCTCTCATCATTAATTTCTATTGGGGATTGTGTTCACTGCAGCCAGCACCAACAGTGCAGGGGGCTCCGGAAAAATGATACAAAACCCCCCCAACTTGTTTTGTCAGTGGAGAAACCTGACAGTATGGCACACGTGGCCTGTGTTGCGCTCTCAAATCTGATTCCGTGCTTACAAATATGTGTTTGTTCTCGAATGTTGAGTTAAATGAACTTACTTCCATGAAGTAGGCTGTCCTCCTAAAGTACTGCTATGTTTGTATTGTGCTCAGTGTTTGTTGTGAATGGCAGCCAGCTTACCATCGGTGATTAGAAATAAGCATATTTGGAGCTGAAAGTCAGAACACATACTGAACCTACTGACTTACTGTAGGTTGCGTGCAGTTTGAATGCATTATTACAGATGTGTTGGGAAGCTGTTGTTCCTGCAGGCCAGTAACATTTTTTATTCTCCATTTCCCCTCCACCATCCTGCAGTACTGCAAGTGTCTGGCACTAGGGCAGCCATTCTGCTTTGGCCAGCAGGATATGCCCCGACTGAGGAGGCAAATGTACAAAGAACTTTGTCACTGCAAACTCATCCTGTGACCAACCACCCCAGCTCAGCCCACAAGCTCCACCTGCTCCCACCCCAACAAGATTGAGGGACAGTGATATAACAAGAAGAGGACAAGGGGGGGTGGCAAATTATAGACTGACTGGAAAAAAAAGAAAGGTTACAAAAATTTTATTTTTCTCTGCCAACATCCAGATGAATTACCTCTACTGTAGGTGATGGCATTGTTTTGCTTTATCTCTTTTTGCTTCCCTCTTTCTACCATTTGAAAACTGATTTGATTTCTATGTGCTGGTTATTCCTTTGCGGTTGACAGAGGCCAAGACTAGTTTCCATTTTGGGTATGTGTTATTCTTCCATCCCATTGTAGTCCACTTCTTTTTTTTTTTTTTAGTCCAAATGGGAGCATGACGAAGATTATGAAGACATTTAGAATCCAGTCCAGATGAAAGGCTGGACCACAGTTAGTCCAGCCTGCCACTACTTCCATGTTAGACACCTGAACAGTGAGTGCAGAAGTAGCGTGCATGGACAGCAGAATCATTTGAACCAGTCTGTGTAAGCTGTGTACCATTTTCATGCCTTCCATCCATTCAGGCCATACAGTATGCTGTGTTCCATTCCAAATGTGAAATGTCGGAAACTCCATCTTTGAAAAACAAGGCAAAATATCAACATCCACATACAAAACACTCCCCCACACCACAGCCAATGTTATGTTGACGATGCTGTCTAGTCACCACATAATGTTTGCCACTGTACTGCAAACTGACATTTCCAATATATACTTGTTAAACGGTTTCTTACAATATGTTTAGATGGGTTTAACCTGATGCTGAAAATGGATCTTGCATAGTTGATGCTGCCATGTTGATGTCAGAAAGCGTAGTCATTCTAGTGCTTTTTTTGTTTTTTGAGGGATATCAAAATTTACACAACATTCATGGAACATGCCACATATTAACTCTTGTGCCAGAAAATTCATCTAGCTCCATCGTTCTTCTGAGTTGTACAACAAGAACATTGTAATGTGGGAGACTGGATCTGTGTCTGTGGATCACCCTGTAAATTTTGGTCTAAAGAAGGGGTCTCTACACTGCATTTATCTTTTTTTCTGTGTTTTATCTCTGTCAGTAAAATGTGTTGATATGCTTATTGCTTTAAACAAATGGTGTTAAACGAAGGACTTTGAATTTGTGTTAATTTCAGAGTAGGTACAAAAGAAATTCTCAAGTTAGTATTCCTTTGGAAGTCAGTTGTTTTGGTGAGGACCACAACTGCTACACATGATCCAGCATGTCCACAATGGAGTTACAGTACCCTGCTCTTCCTTTTATAACTAAAGGAAAATTTGTTGATAGCTGTGTGTTTTTTGTTTTTTTTTCATGCAGGAGTTGATAAAGTTAACAGTTTTATATATCTTCTACAATGCATTATGGTTGCTAAAAATAAAAATGTGTCAAACAAGAGTGTGCATTTTATTAATAATACTGCATGGACATAATTTGTGAGCTGCATTTTATCCCGAATCCAGTGGTGGAATGTAATCATTACTCAAGTATTGTAGTACACAAGTTTGGAACTTGTACTTAACATGAGAATTTCCATCTCATGCCGGTCAGTACTTTTACTCCACTTTCAGAAATATTGTACTTCTTACTCATTACATTTATCTTGATCAATAGTTACAAGTTACTTTTTTGAATAAATACACAAATAATGCATAGCTTTTTTTTATTTTTTTTTATTAAACTACCCAACAAGTTGTCAAATTGTTAAAATTAGCGCAGTATTTGCTCCATGTCATTACTTTTGTTTTATTTCTCTTTATTATGACTAAAATGAAGGCAGATCCCCCAAATGCCAATCTTCTGCATTTTTCTCTGAAATGATCTGAACATATAGTATATAAAAGTCAGACTTAGCAGTTTTCTGCATTAAATACTAGATTACTTTTGATGCTTACAGTACATTTGACTAATAGTACTTTTATGTTACATTTAAATGGAACTAGCCTATGTAACCCATTGTGGTATGTTTACAGTGTGGTATATCCTCTGGACCTGAGTAAACTATTGTTTGAGTCCTACTTAATGTGTGCTTTGTTAGATATATAGTTTTAATTGTGTTTTAATTTGCTGTATTTCAACCATTTTTAGGCAATGTTCTGTGGACACAACTCCAGTGTTTGTGACAATCTATGCTACAGCTATTTGTATGGTCTATATGAATTCCAGTTTAAAACAGGCAATGTCCTGTAAAGCAGCCTACTCATACTTGCATTCCAAGCTTCTCTGGAAATTGTGTCAGATTATCACAGTGGTGTGACTCATCTAAACAGTTTGGAAGGAAGAATGGATAGCTAAATAGATAAAAGCAAGAAAATGTGTACACTGAATTTTTCTGCATTGACAAACGGCTGAACAGAGTATGGAGGACTTAAAAAGTGTAATCCAATGTATCCTTATAAAATGTGAACTCCACCCCCTCTGGTATGCTAACAGTAAAATAATCATGTGCTACCTATCAAGCAGCAACCTCCCAGGCTGAGAAATGAAACCAATGCCAAAACCTGCAATTCCTCAAATGGACACTTGAGACTGGCTCCAAAAGCAAGTCAACCCTCATAGACGCCCATGTCGAAATGCCCAACTTTACAGCAAAGATAAAGATGTTTACAGGCTGGTACAAAAAAATAATTTTGGTCTGTATAGCTAACTATATGGACGTGAATTTTTTTTTTATAACTCACACCGTTTATATTATATTGACACTAAAATTTACACAATAGAAGGCCGAGGATTAGTGAGAGCCAGAGCCACTATCCAGGATGAAACAACAAAGATCCATGAATACGTCAGGGAGATGGTCTCGAGTGATGACGTGCTTAGTGAATATCTCAGGCAGCACAAACCAGAGAAACTAGGGAAGGAAGAGCAGGAACCCTCCTGGAAGGACAACCCCCTGCATGGTATGTACCACCGTCAGATAGAAGAAGTGGCTGATATGGAAAAATCCTACCAGTGGCTGGACAAAGCTGGACTGAAAGACAGCACAGAGGCACTAATCC